CGAGAAGGCGCTGGTGCGCGAGATGTGCAACGTGGTGTGGCGCAAACTGGAGGGCAGTCCACATGGTCCAGCTGCCCTGGAGCCGCTCTAAGGGATGAGGTTATCCAACCTAAGCAACGGGCTAACACCTAGACCATAATGTTTAAAGCTAACTTATGCCGTAATATTTAACCCTAAACATTGTACAAAGTTCAAACCACAACCTTAGCATTAAGCCACCGCTAAAGGCGAAAGAATACTCAAAAAATATTTGGGATACTCCTGCAACTGATCAGAAGATAAGAAACAATAAATTGTCCATCTATTGGAATTGTTTTATCATCTAGAAAAGACTCGGCTTCAAAATCTAGCTTTAACTGGTCTTAAAGCTGGAAGATTTGGCTGCGAGTCAACAGTATGACCTGTTAAGCTTTGATGACTCCACAAAATCAAATAATCAACACAATTGTTGATTATTTTCGATTTGGACCCCTTTTCTTGGGATCACTCTTTTTAATTAGTTTGTAACTCTGGCGATCAGTTGATGGAGTATGCCCACAATTATTTTTGTACTTATTATAAACTTTGACTGTTATTTTTGAATGCCAAGAGAAAAACTACTTTCATGAAAAATTTGCTAACTCGAAATACAATGCAACAAATGTTTCCATATTTAACGGTGGGTTTTTGGTTTTCTAAGATGGGGGATGCTTAGTATAGAACGCTGATTCACTGTTACAGATTCAAAACGTAATAAATCTAAGAGCATTACACGCTTTCTACACTCTGCTGGACCTTACAGAATCGCCTTCTCGCTTACATATGCTCGTGGTTTTTGGATTCGAGACAAACGTAAATTACCACAGAGCTGTTTAACCTGATTCTCCGCGGCCAATTTGCCCATATCGCATTCATTCAGTAAGATCGCAAGAAACTGCACGATGTGCAAGCCAACCCACTTTTGGCCGTTCTGGTTTTCTCGCCCCTGCTGCTCATCGGCTAATTCATGCAATATCCATCAGGGGTTTCGGTTCGGTCTCGGTTCTTTGGATATTCCAGGCGCGAACATGTGAGTCTTGACTTTACTGTCATTAAATATGCAACCTTTCATGGTTTTGCTTTCATTGTTTTCCCTTTTCCGTTGGCCTAAACGGATAAGAATCAGTTGAAAGGCGTGTGAAAATATTTAGGGCGTTAAGGGAGGTGCTAAATTTGATGAAGATGTAGATTAAAATAATGAAATGAAAAAGATAATATATTTCTTTGATCTTACATCTTGACAACAAATAGAAATAATGCATAATGCAATCTTTTATTTAAAAGGCCCTACAGAAATTCCTTACTAGTGTTTAGATATTACTTGAAAAGAAGCCTACAATTATGCAGCAAAAAAGGAAAGAACGTAATACTTTCAGCTTTTAAAAATATTGCTGCATACTATTAGACACTTCTATAGTGATTTCTAAAATCCCAGTGCTTTTCTTAAGAATTTACCCACTTATATCGAATGTTTTATGTTAGTTAGGACAAATATCTTAGTTCTGGCTTCCTAATATACTATTTCTGTAGTAAGCTCCACTTCCTCCAGCAACCAATAGACATGTAAGAAGTGCGTTCTCATTATTTGACCCACTTTCGGAGGCGCCCAATCGAAATGGAACATTAGACCACCGAAAATACCAAATAAGCGGCGATTATAGGAGAGAAATCGCGGAGAAAAGCAGTTGCAGACAACCGCAGAGTCACCAGCCAGCCAGCCAGTCCCAGTCCCCCAGATCCAGCAGCATCCGCACATCTCGGAACACTTATCATTCAACTTCGCAGCGAATCGCACGCGCGAAAAAAATAATCGGAGTGTGCTAAGAGTAGAAGGAGTCGCAGCTGACATGGCCGTGGACATGGACATGGAAGCCATAAAAACGCTGTCAACGAGCCAAGAAGATGCCAGCCAGTACCAGTCCGAGTCCAACTGGAAGTCCAATTGCAAATTACGAAGCAGCAAAAACAGCGGATGCAGTCAGAAGAGCAGTGTTAGTGGCAGTGCCAGAAAAAAGAAAGTTATTGGAGCCGGTTGTGGCCACCTGTTGCCTTCCCTCGCCGCTGCACTTTGCATACTGATCTTCCAGCTGGAGCTGACTCCTCCAGTCAGCACCATGTCGGCGGCCAACGAGACGGCCTGGCCACCCATGCGGCATTACGATATCTGGGACGACGACTTGGGCGAGCCAGGTGATCTCGAGGAGGAGTCTTTGGCGGAGGAGGCGGACTTTAAGCTTCAAAACGGAATACAGGAGGAACTGGATCTGGAAATGCAGCAGCAGGACTTCTCTGATCGGAGTTTTAACCAGACGAACACCAGGCAGGGAAAAGGTGAGCTTTAAGCACTTGAATTTTAGATGATCTTTAAAAATGGAATGGGGTATGTACATTGTACAATGTAGATAGGTACCAACCCAATAAGATAGATGGATATGGTGAGATTATAATTTCAAGATATGAAGAGTCAGTTAGTATTATTATGAAAACAGGAATATTTCTATAAATTTTTTTTAGCACTCCAAAAAAATCTAGCCTTTGCATAAGATACCCTTTATAATCTAATAGAAGCTCGATACAGCGGCAGCTTTAATAAATTGGCTAGATTATTTGATTTAGAAATTGAGACTGATTAGAAAAATAATCATATTGGAATCATGTTATATTTTAAACGGCTATTTTGACCATTTACAATAAATAAGTGCAAATTAAAGCTAGACTCTCTGGATGTTTTTAGATTTTTATGATTAGAAATAATCATTATTAGAAATTTGTATGCAGTTGGACCTACTTTAAATAAACATATGGGAAACAGGTTTAATTTTGACCTCGTTCAGCTTTTAATATTCCGAGTTCCCGAAATTTTTTAAATTCCGATCTTAATAATTATTATATTCTACCAGTGATTCACCTGTTTCCGGTTCCCGTCGATGGTGACTGCATGTCCAACGATGGTCGGCGGATTGGCAACTGCCTAAATGTCTACGAGTGCCGCCAGAAGGACGGACAGGCGAAGGGTGAATGCGCCATGGGATTCGGGGTGTGCTGTGTGTTCTTGGCCAGCTGCAACACCACAATCTCGAACAACATCACGTACATCGTGTCGCCGGGATTCCCTAGTTTCATGCCCAGCAACTTTAGTGAGTGCAGTCTGCGGGTGAAGATGATGAGCGATGAAATCAGCCAGGTGCGAATCGACTTCCATCACTTCACTTTGGGTCAGCCGAATCGAAGGACTGGCGTGTGCGAAGGCGACGTCTTCAGTATAGGTGGAGGACCAGGGGGAAATTTCACCCTATGCGGGCAGAACAGTGGTCAGCATAGTGAGTACATCTTTATATCCCTCAAACTTTTTCTTCTATACCTTTTTTTACAGTGTATTACGACGTGGGAGCTAGATCTTCACCAAGGCAATCTACTTTGTACGGAAGTCTGCGACCCGTGGATGCGGGTAATAGCACCAGCAACTCCACATCCACAGGAGATCGCTTCATCGACATCAGTCTCAATCTGTCCAGTCGCCTCCTGCCTCTTCGCATTTGGGAGATGAGTGTGGTTCAGATCCCCTTTAGCCAACGAGCTCCGGCTGGATGCATGCAATATCACACCGGAACTGAGGGCATTATGCAGACCTTTAATTTCGCCGAAAATGGACGACACTTGGCCAATCAGAACTATCGGATATGTGTGCGTCAGGAGCTGGATATGTGCTCGATTATGTATCAGCCATGCGATGAGCAGTCCTTCCGAATTGGCGGGGGAGGACGAATGGCAACCCGAGGTGGTGAGAGTGCGGACGGATCAACGACAACATCGAATTCTCCTGTAGTCCAGTCGGATGTGGCAGGTGGAACAGCAACAGCAACAGCAACACCGGGCAATGCAGCCATGACCACGACAGCTCCAACTTCTAGCACCCTAATGCAGATGCTGGCCAACATGGCCAACTCCACCAGTGCAACACTGATGACCATGATGACCGGGAATTCAACTCCTGCTGCCAGTGCAGCATCGTCCGCCAGTAGCAGTAGCAGCAGCACGGCTGCCATGAGCACGACGACAACAACAACCACTCCAACCCCGCTTCGTTCAAGTACAGAGGCTTCAACCACCTCCCAGGCACCGGCATCCTCGCCAGCCAGCGACGACGTGGAGGGTTCTGGAGGCGAAGTTGAAGATGATGACGACGATGGTGGATTCCTGTTCTTCCGAAGTCGTCCCACCACCGAGGAACCGGGCGTCTCCAGACGGCCACGTCCAAGTGGAGGCTTCGACATAATGGGCATTATTCGCAATGCCCTTGACCTGCCGCTGAAGTGGCGGCGGCGTGAGGCTCGCCAGTTCTTTAGCACCTGCTCTGATCGGATAACCATGCCGTGCATCATAGAGGACTTCATAGGCACCGGGTTGGGTCCACTTCCCGGTTGCGAGCCCGTTCACTGTGGCGCCCAGTTTTGCTCGTCGGGTGTGTGGCCATGTCGCATCGAAAGCACTGTGACTCCGTTCTATATTGGCGTCCATTTCGGCAATGGAATGGGTGCTGGCAAGGCGAATGCAGAGGATAATGTCGGAGCCTGTCTCCGGTTTTCCCAGGTACAATGCATGTAGGAATGGCGGGACTATCAACTTTCATTTCGTTTTAGAAAATTGAGAGCGTCTTCGAAGGATACTGAAATTCTCGATAGGATCCAATAAATTTATATCAGAGTTTATACAATTAGGAAAAAAGCTTTCGCTTTTTAATTTTGTTTATTAAAGTTTAAGTATACATACTGACTATGTTGTTGATGCCTTCATTCACCTGACTATTGTAGGGGCGATGATAATAATTCTTGTAAAATACTATGTACATGATAGACAAGATTCCCAATTTATTCGAGCTTAGTTAATGTTAATGGTACATTTGAGATTAAAGCACTGTGGGACAATCAAAGTAAACTAAGCTTTCTTTTACAGCGCATAGGCTTCTTGATTTTGTTCGTTCGTTTTTTTTTGTGATGAGATTGCAAATCAGTTTTTCTAAGAAATATATATATTGTGCAATCGGACGAAATGCAAAAATAAGCGAAGTGTGTGCTTCCGCATTTTTTGTTCAACTTGAGCTTGTTTGAGGATGTGTGCGTCAGAGTAAGCTGTTATCGCTTGGAATGCGGACTGCTAATAAGCAAACAGAAATCAATGCCACCTAATAAAGGTGCCCTTTCATGGGGTACTACTCTTTGGTTTGCAGCGGTGGACATTCATGTACAAAATACACATAAATTTGATAACCCTTGACAAGATTAATACTAGAAATATTCGCCCGCAGCTTTATAAGACCGCGGGCAGTTTTGCTCGGCATATTTGGCGTAGGCGCTTTTAGAGCCTTGTTTGATTGGCAGCGCGCTGGAGTGCTTGTTCCACACATGCACCACATACGAATCCTTGCACCGTGCCATAGTCTCCTCTAACTTTTCCGGCTCAAAGAAGTCGCGCCACTTTTTCCATGGCACTGCGTAAAAGGCTCCCCGCCCGAATACCTTGAATCCCATACAGCGTTTCGGATCCTCTTGCATCAGGGCAATGTCCTTGGTGCTACATATCTTCTGGGCCACACGAGTTATCACCCCTGGTCCATTGTTACCCCAGTCTCGGCCGTCAAAGTTGTGCTGGAAGTCGCGCAGACACGACGCGGCAATCTCATGCCCAAATCCAGTGGCTGCCAGGCTCATAACGCCAGCGGCCAAGTGGGTGTTGGACTCAGCACCCGTGTAATTGGGCGGCACCTTCTCCATGTTACGCAGCACAACCACATCCATGTCAAGATAAAGTCCGCCGTAGCGATAGAGGGTGAGATAGCGCAGGAAATCCGAAATGTGTGAGAACAAATACCTGGGAAGGGCAGTCAGTCATAAGTAATATCTAAGGTGAATATCCAAACTCACTTTGAGCGTGACAAGCGGCCGTCTTTGAGCCACTCCTCCATTGGCGTGCCAGCAGCGTAGCTCTCGAGATTCAGTCGTCGCAGATGCACATTGCTGTAGCTGAGAATGGCCTCCACCAAGGTTTGGGGATGGCTGTTGTTGTGTACGCCAGCGGAGATTCGATAGGTGGGGCCGGCGAACAGGACGAACACTTGGAAATTCGGATTATGCAACGCCGCGGACTCAATTGCGCAGGCCTGCCGGGCGGTGACCTTGAGCTTCTCAAGCCGCTTATTCGCGGAAAGGTTGCAGCTAGTCTCGTGAAAGAAGATGCTCCTTCCGGGCGTCGGCTTCGGTTCCGCCTGCAGAACGTCCTCTAGGATACTCGAATCCGCATCCTCGACTGTGGCCTGCTGAGTCGCCATTCCTTTGCCTTCCATGAAGCACGGATAATATTCATTTTCCCAGGTGTAGACGTAGCATAGCCCGCCAATGAGTATCAGGATGAGGATGCCGAACAGAAGGCGCAGTCTTCCGTTATGCAAAAAGCGCGCCGCCAAAATGGGCAGCCGCAGGAGCATTCTGCAGCTGGAACTAGGAGCAAATAGGATGTATTATTGTTTGGTGGAACTCCTGAATCCGACTGTTGCTTACTCTGTGTGTAACCGGCTAACCACTCATCGTCTGCAGTATAGCAAGCTCCTCAGCTGATGGGTAAATGAAAAACAATGGTCAAAAAAAATTGGAGGAGGATCGGACCACAACAAATCAAGCGGCGGATTTTACTCGATAACTTATCGGGGTGGATATCCCATCGGCATATTTTCAAGTTATTCGATATGATTGAAAGTATCGGTGGCATATATTTTACACCCTATACTTCTTGAATAAAGTGGTATATTGTATTCGTCGGAAAGTTTGTAACAGGTAGAACGAAGCTTTTCCGGGCCTATAAATTATATATATTATTGATCAGGATTAGATATGGCCATGTCCTTCTGTCTGTCTGTCCGAAACTACAAAAGCAAAAAGAAGTTCTTAGGAGGTTCAAGTTTGTTCCAGCAGAGTGAAACACATTCTTAAAGATTTTGTTTCATTGTAAAGTGAAATTAATTTTTTTGTAAATTTTATTTAATTAAAAATAAAGAGGTTTATAAAATCGGTCATATAGTTATGCCTAATCGTAAGTATTTCTAAACTTCGTTTGTTAAGAAAAGGCGATAAGTAGACAAACAACAATAAGTGGGTACACATTTTGATTGAAGCGGATTGAAGGAAAGCTATATTTTCATTCATATTTACAGAGGAAGTACATTTTGAAAATTATTATTTAAAAGCTACTTCGTTTCCTATCGACTTATGTATCGATAGTGTTTGGCGAATGTGAATACTCGATACCAATGTTATCGTAAATGGTTGTCCCACCTCTAGGCGGCATTTGCTTTGAGAATTTTGCGATTTTTTTTCATTTAACGAACGCATTGTGAATTCTCCGGCGCAGCGCACGCAACGACCGGTAGACGCCCGTTACACCCATTACCCATATAGCAAAATAGTGAAATGAATGTTCCCCCTAGCGTGGGCAATGGAGGAGCGCCACCAGGAAGGGGCATGGGCTACACGCCGCCGAATGCCATTGTGCCGCAGTTTCCGCCTCCCGGATTCGCGGCCCCTCCTCCTCCCGAGCTCGCTGCCGCCTTCGGCGTAATGGCCACCAACACCGAGTGGACGGAGCATAAGGCGCCAGATGGACGACCCTATTACTACAACCAGAACACCAAGCAGAGCTCGTGGGAGAAGCCCGAGGCCCTGATGACGCCCGCCGAGCTGCTGCACAACCAGTGCCCCTGGAAGGAATACCGCTCCGACACGGGCAAGGTGTACTACCACAACGTGGCCACCAAGGAGACCTGTTGGGAGCCGCCGCCTGAGTACGTGGACATGAAAGCCAAGGCGAAAGCGGAGGAGTAAGTGATTTATGGGGCTCTTATGGCATACCACTTGCTAATATCATGTTTTATTTACCCAGAGCTGCTGCTGCCGCCAAGGCCGTGGCGGCCATGACCTCATCCAGCCTGGTGGGCATGGTTCCACATGCTGCTCTGGCCAACATCCTTCCCGCCGCCCTGCCCGCTGCCCCCAGGATACCTACGCCCGAGATTCATTCTCCCCTGACGCCCGGCAGCAACGACAACTCGTCCTCCGCCATGGACCAAGCTATGGCAGCCACCCTGGCGTCCATAGAGGTGCCTCAACAGAATGGTAAATGCGGTTAGCTCTTGATTTATTTCACACAAGCTTACCATATTCTCTTCTAGCTAAGAAGGACGACAAGTCGGATAGCACTGTGGTGTTCAAGGACAAACGCGAGGCCATCGAGTCCTTCAAAGAGCTTCTGCGGGACCGCAATGTGCCCTCGAATGCCAATTGGGATCAGTGCGTGAAGATCATCTCGAAGGATCCGCGCTACGCCGCCTTCAAGAACCTGAACGAGCGCAAGCAGACATTCAATGCCTACAAGACGCAAAAGATCAAGGACGAACGGGAGGAGTCGCGCCTAAAGGCGAAGAAGGCTAAAGAGGACCTGGAGCAGTTCCTAATGTCCAGCGACAAGATGAACTCGCAGATGAAGTATTTCCGTTGCGAAGAGGTTTTCGCCGGGACTCGAACATGGACTGTTGTGCCGGAACCGGATCGGCGCGATATATACGAGGACTGCATATTCAATCTTGCCAAGCGGGAGAAGGAAGAGGCGCGGTTACTGAAAAAGCGCAATATGAAGGTTCTGGGCGAGCTACTAGAATCGATGACATCGATTAACCATGCCACCACCTGGTCAGAGGCTCAGGTCATGCTACTGGACAACGCGGCGTTTAAGAACGACGTGACCCTGCTTGGAATGGACAAGGAGGATGCTCTCATTGTCTTCGAGGAGCACATCCGTACCCTGGAGAAAGAGGAGGACGAGGAACGCGAACGGGAAAAAAAGCGGATGAAGCGACAGCAGCGCAAAAACAGGGACTCATTTCTCGCTCTCCTCGATTCTCTGCACGAAGAGGGCAAGCTCACCTCCATGTCCCTGTGGGTGGAGCTGTATCCGATCATATCCGCCGATCTGCGATTCTCCGCCATGCTTGGCCAAAACGGATCCACACCCCTGGATCTGTTCAAGTTCTATGTGGAAAACCTTAAAGCCCGCTTCCATGACGAAAAGAAAATCATTCGGGAGATCCTGAAGGAGAAAGCTTTTGTGGTTCAGGCCAAGACTTCCTTCGAGGACTTTGCCACGGTTGTGTGTGAGGATAAGCGGTCGGCCAGTCTGGATGCTGGCAATGTAAAGCTGACCTACAACTCTCTGCTGGAGAAGGTAATTATTTAGTGCATATTCTTATTGAGAGTCTTACATAATATTATTTCCAGGCGGAGGCCATTGAAAAGGAGCGAATGAAGGAGGAAGTGCGACGGTTACGGAAGCTGGAGAATGAGATCAAGAACGAATGGCTGGAGGCCAACGTCTCAGTGGCCGAGCCCTACGAAAGTGCCAAGAAGCTGGTTGAACACCTGGAAGCATTTGCCCTGTACGAGAAGGAAATCGGTGTGGAGAAGATCTGGGAAGACTTTATAAAGGAAAGCGAAGACGCGTGCAGCCATCACCACTCGCGGTCACGTAAATCGAAGAAAAACAAAAAACACAAAAAACGAGTTCGATCCACGTCAAGATCAGACATTGAGAACGAACAGATTGAACTGGAAAAGTCTAAGCGAAGACGCTCCAAGTCGCGATCGGTTAGTATGCTAATACATACAAGGATTAATATAAGAATAAACAAGTTATTTTACTCCCATTCAGCATTCCCTGAGCTCGATCGGCAGCATCGAAAGCGAAAAACTGCTGAAGAAGAAAAAGAAGCGCAAGAACAAGCTGCGAGGTGTACGTAGCAAGTCCCCAACAAACCCCAAAACTCAAGATATCTAACAATGCTTACATTTCAGTCCTCCTGCGAATCGGAAATTCCGGGCATCCAGTCGCCCGGTACTCAAGCTCTCCTGCAGAACGACTCCAACTCGCATTCACCGGCCAAGAAAAAGAAGAAGGAGAAGCGAACCAAGAAGGACAAGGAGGGCAAGCGACACAACAGACACAATCGCTCCGGCACGCCCCTCAGTCCAGCCCAGTCCATAGAGTCGGCGGGATCGCGGAACGAGGAGCTAACGTTAAGTGACGGCGAGCTGGAATCTAAACGAGCGGCTCTGCTAGCACAACTAAGCGAGCAGTTAGACGAGTGACCAGCGGACGGCCGCTGAGCCTAAGCCAACATAGACAGCGTGTGGCACACTCCTGCTCCAGTTAACTGCCGGGGGCAGGAGAAGCAGCTAGCCTTGGACCCAGTTGCTGGACAAGTTCTCACACGTCTTTGCACTGCACGCCCGTTCGTTTGGTTAAGATACAGTCCTGGTCCCAGCACAAGCCACACAGCAAACAACCACTAAAGTAATTTCTTAGTCGCAATAAGTTTCAATGTATAAATGAGAATTAAAGCTAACAAGTCAAGTTTTAAGTTATACGCAAACGATTTTGAGTCTCCGTCAAAATAAACGAAAATTATCGTAATTACAGGAATATTGTTTGATTGTTCCATTTTGCTATGATTTTAATTAAACAGAACTTTCTGAATTTATCTGAGTACAATTTAAAATCCTGTCTTCTAAATTAATACGATTATGTTAGTTTTTACTATGTTTATTGACATTCCTGACAAACGCACAAATGGAAAAGTTGTTTTTTTTGTCGTCAAACTAAAACTTGAACTCCTTGTACTTCTTTGTGGTCTTTGCCGGATCCGTTTGCTGTCGCTTGCGCTTTGATTTTTGTCGCGCCACATGCTCGGCCAACATATCTGACAGATCTTCCTTCTGCAGGTGATTCTGCTGCTCGCGCATTTGCTGCTCATAACGCTGGGCCATTGCGTCGTTGTCCATGTCCAGTTCGCTGGGATCAAGTGCCAATTCCACGATGCCCTCACGATCTGTTGTGGATCGAACTGGAGGCTGTTTGTTGGCCCCACCTCCACTGACATCGTACACATGGGTTGATCCCATCATGGAAGCGCCTATGCGGTCTGTGCGCTTCTCGGGCAGCACTTGGTACAGGACGGGAGTTTCATTGCTAGAAGAAAGGAGAACAGTATGGTTAAATCTCTTCTTTGCTTGCAGATCTTGTTTCACTTACTCCTCCATTTCGGCTTCGATTTTCTTTTTGCGGAGCTCAATGTTCTCGGGCGTTTCCATGCCAGCTGGGACACTAGTGAGTCCAGAGGGCGTTACCAGTCCCTCCACCGGCGTGACCAGGCCAGTCTCATCCTGCTGATCGCCCAAGTCTTCGCCATCTTCCTCCTCCTCCTCGGAAGACTCCTCAGACTCAGACTCCAATTCACCCCATTGATTACGCTCGATGTCAGCTTCGTCAATGCCGTTCTAAATGAAATGTGGGTACGTTTAGTAATAATACATGGTAAAGCAATGGCGCTACTCACATCCAAGTCCAATATATTGGTTCCAAATACATCACCGTAGAGCGGCTTTCCGTTCTCATCCACTGGCGGTTTGCCCCAACCGCCGGCATGATAACCGAACGAGGTGCCGTCCGGAATGGGCGCATTTAGGCCGGGAATTTTCAGATTCGGATATGAGGGCGGCGGCCCATAACGTTGTTGGGCAATCAGCCATGGCGGCGGGATCTTGTGCGAGTTGGGGCCCACGGGCATGCCCAAAGCAATGCGCAGCTCCTCGGAAAGATCTCCTGGCTTCTTCTCCTTGAGCCGGGTCTCGAACTCCTTGCCCTCGTAGTAGAGATCGCCATGAATGGTCATGCGGGGCTTGGTCTGCCACTTGAAGAAGGCGTCGTGCAGTTTCTGGTAGTCAATATCGATCTTGCCCATCTTGGGGCGAACGCGTTCACGCATCTTGGCCTTGAGGGTCTTGGCGTCCTCCCTCTCCTGCAGCGACTCGCGCATCTCCATGATGCCCGTCTTCTTAATGAAGGCGGGAAGATCGAACGGCGGCTTCTCGATACCCCTCTTGCCCTGCAGGTATTTTCGCTTGAAGCACCAGTGACGCGGCACTTGCACTGTGTTCCTGTAAGCCTTCAGCTGGACCAGCAATTTTGGATCTCTGGCTGTGACGTCGTGCATCTCGACCACATCGGGTCGGGAAACCAGCTGCTTCAGTTCTGCTACACTTAGACGAGTTAGCTTCTTGAGCTTTCGCTTGGACAGCTTTTCCTTGTCCTCCTTTTGCTCGTCATCATCATCGGCATCGTCGTCCTCGTCCTCAAGGAGTTTGTCGGCCGCCTTCTTGTCCTTGGTGACGGATTCGGAATCTATCGAAGACTTGTCCTTTTCCGCAGGCTTTGGTTTGTTCTCCAGTTTAAAGATTTCGAAGACACGATAAAACTGACGGTACATGGGCGCCAGATCGGCAATGGTTATCTTTTCGGGCACGTATCTGGGAGAGGGAAAATGCATTACTAGAGATTCCATGGGGATAAGATGCAATGACTTACTCTATGGTCACATCCTCATCATTGGCCTCGGCTGCCTTTTTGTCCTTTTCCTTTTCATCGCTGCGATCCTTCCTCCGCTTGCTGCGACTATCCTTGTGCTTGTCCTTCTTCTCCTTCTCAACGACCTGTTCATCCTCGCTGCCTGCGGCTTTAGTCTCTGGTTCCTTGGCCTCCTGATCTGCAGCCTCGTGCTCATCTGCCTGGGCCAGCTGCTGCTGACGCTCGAACTCCAGCTGGTGGCGAATCTTCTTGTTCAGCTTCTTGCGCTTCTTTTTCTTTTTGTTTCGTTCCGCCTTGCTCTGCTTGCCGGGCTTTCCCCCACCGGCCCCGTTCACCTGGTTTTCTCCATCATCCTCGCTGTCTTCGCCTACATCTGCCTCGTCGCCGTCCTGAGTGACTCCCCCGCTGCCACCCAGCGAATCGGCGTCCACGGTAAACTCGGCCGCCCGCTGATCCTTGAGAGCCAGCACATCCTCCAGGGCCTTGGGCAGGACCAGTTCACCGGTGGTCTTCTCGGCCTCCACGGCTTCTTCAGGAGCCTCGCCGGCGTTCCCATTTCCATTGCCGTTCTCATTCCCATTGGCCGCCGCATTTTCGTGCTGCTGATCGAATCGTATGGACATCAGCGGCGTGGGCTGGCCGGGCTGAAAGGATTGGCACATGATAGAGGACTAGCCGGTCGGGTTGTGTAACAAACTCACCTCGTTGTTTAACTGGTCCGCCATAAATTAAATAAATTTATAAAATGCAAACCACCAGCGAAAAAACAATTCAATTCTAGCGATGGGCGACAAGGGATAAGTGTACCCAATCGACTATTCGATAACTGGCAAATCGAAAATCACCTCATATCACAGGGTGACCGCAGTACAAAAAGCGTGGTTTGTGCCGACAGCTGATCGAAACCAATTTACAGAGGTAAATAAGTGTATATAAACAAATAAAACGTGGAAAGTACTTAAAATTAATTAATATATTGTTATTTATATTTAAATACACAAATCTAATAATCTATTTCATCTGCAGGAATCATCAATCACACTCACAGGGTGCCTTAAAGCTAAAAACATGTTCAAATTTAATTTTGAAGTCGAAGCGGATTCCTCTGAAGATCCACAGTCCGTTAAAAGTCCTATATTTGATAAGGAAAAGGATTCCGAAGAAGCTGATTCGGAAAATACAAAGGATATAGATTGGTACCAGGCGGAGAAAGTAAAGCCCACAGATAATTTGATTTCCATATTGGATTTCTACGAGCTGAATGCCAAGGAAATTGAAGTGGGAAACACAACGATAAAACACCTCGTGGCCGGCTTTTTGCTGGACGATATTAAAGCTCAATCCGACCTTCAAGACCTTGATATCAGAAAGTCCGAGGAAAACCATTCAGATCTTATAGCCGGGGTCTACGAAGGTGGTGCCAAAATATGGGAATGCACAGACGATCTTCTACAATATCTAAGCGAAAAGCACGAGGACTCATTCTGGAAGGACAAAAGAGTTCTGGATTTAGGTTGTGGATCCGGTTTACTGGGGATATATGCCATTAAACATGGCGCACGAGTAGATTTTCAAGACTATGTAAGAATACTTCGTATAGCATTATTATATTTTATTTTATTAAATTTAATACTTTCAGAACAAAGATGTTTTGGAATACATCACATATCCAAACATTCTGCTAAATGTTGACGAATCGCTAACTGATGATGAAAAGCTGGAGTTTTTGGACAAGAAGACGAGCTTGTATGCTGGAGACTGGTCTCATTTTGCTCAGTTAACGAAGGAGGTGGAGAAATATGACCTAATACTTACCTCAGAGACAATCTACAATATAGAGAATCAGCAAAAACTTTTGGAAACTTTTGCCGGTCGCTTGAAGTCAGACGGAATCGTTTTGGTCGCTGCAAAATCTCATTATTTTGGAGTAGGAGGTGGCCTGGAACAATTTTCCTTAAAGATAAAGCAGGGAAATGTATTTCAAAGCGAAAGTGTCTGGCAAGCAGACGAAAACTTGAAAAGAGGAATTTTGCAATTAAAATTTAAATAAATTGAACAGGAGTTTCATTTATTGGTGTACAGTTCTTTTTTTTTGTAATTTTGGTAATGTTCTACAGGTACTTATCGAGTTTTTGCCAACAATACTAAGATAAATAATTATCTTAAACTCCGGAAATGTACCCAATTCCCTTATATAGATAACAGACTTGGGTTTCAAATAAAACGGTAATCTACGCCCGAGTTGGCAGCTCTTTTTACGCGGGGCACCCTGTAACAGTCAGCTGAGTTGTTGTTGCCCTTATTCCGGAAAAATTGTGAGTAAATTCGTTGCGCTCTGATAAAACAATTAAAATGGACCCACCCACGGAACTTATGATTGCTTTTGAAACGTTCCTCCAGTCTGCGGGTAGGGCGTGCACTAACCTTATCTAAACTGTTTCCTCACACGCTGCCCGGAACTCCGAAAAAAATCGATGTTCTTGATGTCAGCCGGCTCCTCCGATTTTGTGTCTGCCGCTTGGAGATCGGAGGCCGAGGAGGCTAAATCGGAGGCGAACAGGAACCTTTGCTGCTGTGAGTACGTGGCGGAGGACACTCGAAAGCGATCGCACATCCTAGGATGCTGTTGTAACTGCGTGGACTTCGACTTAGTGTGCACAAGGTAGGGAAACATAAGAAAAGCCTGATTGGGCTTACAATTAACTCCTTGTTAAATCCTTTTCAGACTCGTCACCTGCAAGGCTATCGATCGTAGGAACATAGACGGCATGCTGATCGCCTTCCAGGATCGACTGCGTCTGCCATGGCGCGGCGGAGCCAAGCGAATCTCACCCGCAGCTGTGGCTCCCGCCTTCATTGTTCCCCTCATGCTGGGATTGGCGACTTTGAACTCCAAGACCGCTATTGTGCTGATGCTCACTTTGGTGGGCTTCACCATCTGGGGCATGCAGCTGGCCAAGCGGACGTCCACGCGGACAAACTTCTTTCTCAGCTGGCTAGTCTTCTCGGTGCTCTATATGATCATCATCTTTGAGTTTCAGGTTCCTCTGCTGGAGCTGGCACCGGAGGAGAATTACGCGCTAATGTTCTTCTCCTGTGCCGCTCTGTACTGTCTCTACTCCACCAAGGCACTGTCCCCCTTGAATCTAGTCTCGGCTCAATATGGAACCACTCCCAAAGATGAGTTGCCTGGCATCGCGGAGGCTTCTAGTGGCGAGGAGCAGGCAGAAGCCCAGACCACGCTCCAGATGGATAGTGTGCTGAGTTTGGATGACGACGAGGTGGTGGACATGGACTCGGCTGAGCGGTCGGGCTTGATGCACGGGCAGCCCAACATCTGCGAAATATGTCGGAAGGTGACTCCCAGGAGGGCATACCACTGTCCCGTCTGCGGAACCTGCGTAAAGAGGCGGGATCACCATAGCTACTGGCTCAACTGCTGCATCGGGGAGCGGAACCATGTGTGGTACATTTTCGGACTGGCTCTGTCGGAAATTGCACTTCTGCTGGGCGCCAACTTGACCCTAACATCGATTTGCCATCCTTTCATGGTGGTGCGACCGCTGGGCTATCCCGTGCTGCTGCCCGACGACTGCAGTGAAGTTTTTGAGGGCTTTGAGTAAGTAGATAGTTTAAACCTTTATTTTATAATGTTAACCCATTTATCTTCGTTTCAGGCTGGGCATATCCTTTGTAGTGGCTTGCTATGCCCTGCTAATTTCCGCCTACATTGCTTTCATACTCACTCGACAGGCCTACTTGTGGTGGAAGGGGTCCACCCTACACGAATACAAACGCGCCTCCAACGCCGCAGGTCGCAATCGAATCTGGAGCAACTGGCGAGCCATTTTGAAGTGATTGCTCACAAACCAAAAAGCACAAGAAGGCACAAACTTGTGCCCAAATACTAAAGTATTTTCACTCTAAACTCTGTTCTTGGTAGTCGTACTTAGTCATAGCGCTTTAAGGTCTTAAATGCAATTTCAAATTTATTCAAAATAAATATAATTAGGAATCTAAAAACGCGAAACGAACTAAACGAAAAGTGAAATGTTGAAAAAGTTACCATAGGCTATCCTCTCTCGGTTTGTAATCTGGTAGTAGCTCCCAGATCTTCATGCGCCACCGCTGGCGGCGTTCCTCCGTTTCCTTCTCGACTTTGAGGATCTGCGGCAGACGTCGCCAGCAGTCCAGGACCTTCCATTTCAGGTGCCTAGTAAAGTTTGTTAAATTAATAATGAGTAATCCCTTAAAATATTTATTTTTAGGTGAACCTACCACTCATGATGCGAGATGGCCTGCCGAGTCTTGGTGTCCTCAATCATCCGGCAGCGCGTGGTATAGTGGTGCCACCGTCCAAACCAGTGTTCCATGGCATGAAGTGCATGCCAATCAATTGCCACCATCATCTTGCTCTTCTCATTCTGCACATACACAATCCAGGCGTATATGGCTCGGCGTTTGAGGATGTTATGCCAACACCTTTCCGCTCGGATCATCTTCTCGCGTTGCCTATAGGCCGCATAGCTGTGCCACGAACGGAAGGCGTTTTTTTTGAATAGCCGGCATCGGAACTCCTCGCTCTTGACCAGATTCTCGCGTTTACGCTGCAGCAGTCGTTTGAAGCCCTCCATGCCAATCCGCCTCAGCAGAAGCCTCCGGCTGAACTCCACGGCCTTGCGCTGGTTCTCGATGAAGCGCTGGCGTTCGCGCTCCTTCAGGACCTTGGCCATTTTCTCCTGACGTCGCTTCTCCTTAAGGACCTCCATCCTTAGGCGTTTGGCTTCTTCGTCCTCCTGACGCTATTAGATTAAGAGTTAAGGTATGTTTATGCACTGGAATTCGAACAATGTTCAAAATAACCCACCTTGGCCTCCTCCAGGGCAGCCTTGGCCGCCTCTCTTTCAGCATCCGCCTGCGCCCTCCGCTGACGAGCCTGCTCATGACGCATACTCCGCTCGGTGGCCCGCTCCTGCATGTGCTGGAGAAAGCGTGGCTGTAGCAGCGCCTTGCCCTGAAGCTGGTCCATCTCCTCATCTTGCGCATCGCGCAGACTGCCTATCAGCTGCAAGCACTTGGCCTTCGCTTTGGCCTTGGGATCGCCGCAGCGGATTACCGTCTTCAGCTCCTGCTTTAGATCTTCACGCGCCTCTTTGGCCTCGTCGCTGAGCTTCGTCATCTTGAGTTGCATAATAAGCCGCTCCTGGCGCTCCAGCTTGATCCGCTGTAAGTCGATGATATCCTGCTGCACTTTAAGTCTACAGGATCAAGAAAATCCAGTATTAAATATATCTTGTACATGTGTGAAAGATACCTACTTATTCTTGAACTGCTTGGCCAGCTTAACGGCCTCCTCGCGCTGCTCCAGGGATTTCTGGGTGATCTTACCAGTCTCGACCACTGCTTCTGTGCGCTGTCGCTTCTTCTCCTGCCGCACCTTGTCCAGAAAGGCATTAATTTTCTGCACCCGATTGTCTCGCGCCTGACAGGATTGACCTTGCTCCCGCTCAATCTTCTCCATCGTTGTGAAGTGTATCCACTTGAGGAAGTACTTACGCATCACCACCAACTGGGTGTTGGCCCTGGCCTGAAATAACTGGTCGATGATCTTCTGTTTCTCGTGGGTAGGCGCCACACCCGACTCGTCATCACTATCGCTGGACAGCTCCGGAGGCTCTGGTTCCTTGGGCTTCACCACAACCTTGGGCAACTCTATCCGCCGGATGAGGAGGGGCTCCGGTTCTGGTTCGGCTTCTGATTCCCCAATAGGATGATTGCTCGGCGTTGGGGTCTTCTTTTGGGGCAACTGAAACTGCACGTGCTTGGGCGGGATGGGCAGCTCCTTGTCGATCTCCTCCTTCTGCTTCTCAGCTGCCTCCAACTGGAGTTCATACAGCGCTTCCTCGGCCAAGTCGGATATCACAGAGTCTATGCCATCGCTGGTGTTTGAGCAGGTTGAGGATTCTCTTTTCAGCGAGGAAGGATTACCATCTGGCTGTTGCACCTGCTCCTGCTTATTCTCCTGCTGCAGTTCCTCCTCGTGACGAACGGTTCGGACGTGCAGCATCTGACGCTCGGCTGCCGCCCGCATAGGTCGAAAGAACTCCTCCGTCGAGGTCAGCGGGCTAGGAGTACGGCACCGCAGGAGCTTTGCCTTGCTCTCATCCGCCTGGACTTGCTTGGTAAAGTTGCGATACTCCAGGGCATCGAAGGATATTACTTGCTCCTCCAAGAACTCCGGTATTTCCATCACCTGGGCTTCCTGCTCCACCCATTCGCAGTCCATGTCCGCCTCCTTCTCCGGCTCCGCTCTCAGTTGCTGAATCAGGCTCTTGGTGGCCACAGATTTGGTTTCGGAACACATCTGCGCCATCTCACCCAGGGCCTGAACTGGAGTGTTGTAGAAGTTATCAATGTGCTGGGCAGCTTGTGCCAGGCTCTTCACCAGGGGAGCATGGTTGAGTTTAAAGTCCGGCTTGGTGGGCGGCACTCGGTGGGATTTACTACGCTGGAACTGTCTGGACAACTGCTGTCGGAAATTCTTCAGCTGATTGTCAATAAAACGCTGCTCCACTTCCAGATTGTGCGCCTTGGTAGCTTGTAGGGAGTTGCCATGGTCATGGGCTATGGTGGCCAGGGGTAGTTTGTGTGGTATTTTCTGAAACTGTTTGAAGATGGTTTACATTACTTTAAAAAAATTAATAATTTCTTATAAACACTACTTAAAAAAATATATAATAAGAAAATGTATAACATTTTCAATTTTTATATCTATAAACAATAAAAAATATTGTGTAGTGACCAATTTACCATCTTATGCCGCATGTCCATTATAACACTAGGATTCAGCTGCTTGGTTTCTTCTCCTTCGATCAGAAGCCTCTCCTGTCGCCTTCCAACGTAATCCGCCTCTATCAGACGACGCACTGCTTCGGTCTTCAGGCCCAAAGGATTCACCTGCTGGTGACGCTTGCGGATGCGATCCCAGCGAGTCTCCTTGTTGGGTTTCTCACGACGCTTGAGATGCGACATCTTTATTCAAAAATTGTCTCGAATTGTGATAGTAAAAGTTGTTTTCGTCTTGAAAATTAAATGGGAACTGAGTCCCATGAAAAAAGGTCGTAAACAACTTCAACATATTGTCCTGACAACGAAAACTGCCGGCCGGGGTGAATTTCCCTCGTAAAAAACTTACATATTTGTATATTCCAATTAAATTCTTCAACAGAAGACTTTTGAAAATGTTCGAAAGTATATAGACACCATCCTAACCAAAACAATTACAATTGCATTCGAAGCATAGCCTGATCCAGTTTAATCGTTATAAATTGTATATAAATGCCATAAATATTAGATAAGTCGATAAGTAACACAAATTTTGAGGACTTTGCAAGCTTAGTTTAGCAGTATATTTCATAGTAATTGAAGGGACTTTAATCTCAACCAGCAGCCGGGTCCTTCTTGGTCTTCTCCTTCTTGCCCTTCTGTTTCTCGGCAGCAGCCAGCTCCAGATCAATAGGAGCAGGCTTGACAAACGGAATCTCATCCTGGAACTTGGCCGGCAAGTACTTCTTCAGTGGCTCCGGCACCTTGATGCCCGTCTCTGTCTGATGGGTCTCCAGGATGGCGCAGATGACACGAGTGGCGGCGCACATCGTGGCGTTCAGCATGTGCACGTAGTCGACGGCGGCGTTCATCTTCTTGGTCTGGCCATAGCGGACCAGCAAGCGGCGCGCCTGGTAGTCCAGGCAGTTGGAGCACGAGACCAGCTCCCTGTAGGCCCCGCTGCCGCCAAACCACGCCTCCAGATCCAGCTTCTTAGCGGCGGCGTGGTTAAGGGCACCGGATACGATGTTCACCACACGATATGGAATGCCCAGCGACTGGCAGAACTGCTCCGCATTGCCAATCATCTCGTCCATCATCTCCCACGACTTGTTGTCGTGCGGGGAGGTAAGCACGAACTGCTCCACCTTCTCGAACTGATGAACACGGAAAATTCCACGAGTGTCACGACCGTGGGATCCCACCTCCTGGCGGAAGCAGGTGGACAGACCGGCGTACTTAATGGGCAGCGATGCCTCCGGCAGCCACTCATCCCGATGGTAAGCGGCGATGGGCTGCTCCGAGGTGGCAATCAGGTACTTCTCGTCCACGCCCACCTCCTCGGCCTTCTCGCTGCCCTTGCCCACCACCTTGTAGAGCTCCTCGTCGAATTGCGAAAGCTGGGCCACCTCCTGCATCACTTCCTTGCGCATGAAGAAGGGCGTGTACAGGGGCACATAGTCACGGGCGTAAAGCAGATGCAGGGCGTGCTGGATGAGTGCCTGCTCCAGGAAGACGGCAGCTCCGGTGAGGAAGTAGCCTCGACCACCGGACACCACAGCTCCCTTCTCGGCGTTCATGCCGTCGATCATCACAATGAGGTCCACATGCGAGTACTTGCCACGCTTCTCGCAGTCGCCAAAGGTCCGCTCCACGCGGTTCTCTTCCTCGTCGTTGGACACGGGGACGGACTCGTGCAAGTGGTTGCCCACCTCCCGCAGCGAGGTGTTTCTCGTTTGCTCAGCCAGCTCCAGGGTCTTTTGGTTCTCCGTCATGGCATTGTCGATGAGGATGCGCAGCTGCTTGATTTGGTTGACGGTCAGCGGCTGCAGGGTCTCGGCCACGATCTCGGTAAGGTCCTCGGTCAAGCCGGCCGGCAGGTCCTCGCTCATGGCGCCCACCGGCTCCTTCTTCTTCATCTTCTCGCCGATCACCTTGCTGCAGACGTTCTTCACCTTGTTGAGGTTGTCGGCGCGGTGGCGGCACTGACGCCACTCAGTGTCCTTGGCGATCACATTCTCCACCAGTGCCACATCCTTGAAGCGCTTCTTCTGGTTATCGCGCACGGCGTCCGGGTTGCCGCCCTTGTCGCTGCGAAACAGATCCAGATCCAGCACCATGTTAGCTAGGCTTTAGTTAAGTCTCAGTCGCGGGGAATAGCTTCGATTCGCTTCGATTCGCTTGGAGTTCGTCGGCGTTTTCACAACGTGGCTGGTCTTTTGCGTCAGCTGGGCAGCGCTTCCAACACTGGCAAGTGAGGTGCTGGGAAGGTGACGAAGTGCATGGTGTGACTCATCCGGAAGATTTTGAGTGCTCTAGAGATATTAACCCATTTGTTGTCACCATTTCAAAACTAAAAAAAATTGGATTTCTAGACTTCTTTAAAAGCAATGATTTTTAAAATGTTGAATGAATTTTTTAACAAACCTGTTATATCTCCATGTCTTATAAAATAAAATAAACCTTAATATTATTTCTATAAGCTTATCACTAGAACAAATAATATTTAGCATTTCAATTAATAGCGTTTGTATGTGTGTATGTAAAATAATGTAAAAAAGCTGAAAACATGAACCGTAATCATTCTAATTTTTAAAATAATAATCATAATAATTGAATTATTAATTAAATAAAAAAAAAGAAATAATTTTTGGTTTTCATAAAAAATAAATCCATCTAGCCTACATTCTTTTCGTCACCATGTCAAACTAACCTGTCACCGTTTCCCAACACTACCTGCTTTTCCCCAGCTGTTCAAAAACAGTCCAATTGGAGAACAGCAGCGAACTCTTCACAGATATCGCCCTCAACGATGAGCTTTATTGACCAGGAAGTTACGGAGTTCCGGGCGAAATGTGAGAAGCAGGTGCCGCACACAAAGATCATAATCTGCTCCAGTTCCCTGATCCGAGTTGACATCTACCCGGAGCGGCCCAACCGCTTGATGACCGTGTGCCTGCGCTTTCCGGAAAACTACCCGCAGAGCACTCCCATCCTGGTGGAGCTAAAGAGTCGTGTGTACTCCGACATGCTGCTGACGGAGCTCACCCGGCTGATCGATGACTATGCCAAGGACTTCCTCGGGAAGCCACAGGCGCTCCTGGTCCTGGCCTTTACCCAGCAGTATTTGACGGACAATCCCCTCTGCGTGTGCCTAGACGAGATCAAGCAGCTAAGGGCGGACATCAAGACGGGAGGCACGGAGAGCCAGCTGAAGCTGAAGCAGAAGAACCGGAGCGTGGAGCTGGTGGCCAAGGGAGGCCGCTACACCTACAGAGTCACCGCCGTCGTTCCGGACAGCTATCCCATGCAGAGTGTGGAGCTGCGCGGTCAGGAATCCAATCTTCCGGCCGTGCTCGTGCGCTACCTCAACGGCCAGTCGCGGGAGATAGCCCGCCAGTGTGTGGAGCCGCCAATCCGGCTTAGCAAGGAGCAATTGGCCAATTTCCGGCCAGTCAGGAGTCTGCAGCGCTCCCTCAAGTTCTGCCTGGAGGCGACCCGGGACTTCCACATCGAGCTTTGCCCCATTTGTGATAGCACCGTGCTGCCGGAGTATCCGGAGGACATAGACGCCGATGACAATTCGGATTTCTTCATCGAGCGCGTCTACTGTGGTCACCTATTTCACCAGGGCTGCCTTAAGAAGTACCTGTCGGAGCCACCCTTTCCTAAGGGCGGCAAACTATGTCCGGCTCAACGTCGCCATCCTCGTTCCGATGCCCAGACCTACATGGGAAGGCCCCAGGGAGGCGGAGCCACCGTGTCCCGGGCTCCGGACGATGCTGTGTGTGGCATCAAGCTGGCCCATGATCGCTGGGTGGTCAGCGTAAAGACGGCGGAGGCTCGCTGGGCCCAGAAACAGGCTCGCCAGCGGGAACTAGAGGAGGTAGTGGACTTCCTGCAATAACAGAGGGTTCAACCCAAGAACAGCTTTCTGTGTATGGTTATGTATTTTGTGATTTGTATTCGAATACGCTTATATTGCTAAAGATGAAATAAATAAAGTGAAGATGAAGTGCGACTATGTTGGTCTTCTGTGTATCCTGTCAACGCGATGTAAACACTCCTGTGTTACAGTCTTTTGTTTTCACAGATTTTCAACGAACTATACTATTGGAATACACATATTTGTGTATTCCACTTAATGGTATAGTAAAATGACTAAACAATGTTAAAGTTTAAATTGAATTCTATCAAACTCTGCAGAAGTCTATAAGGAAACTGGTCTGTTAAAAGAAGGTCCCTCTTCTCATTTCAGGCGGATTAGAAACTATAACCGGGCATTGTAGTTTGGTCTGGGATTAGAGAATACTCTGGAAGCCCTTTGTCTGCAGACTTATTTGGCTAAACTTCAGAAATCCGTGACTATTTCGTCGTCCTCGTACCGCTTGATAGGATCCCCCTTGATCAGCGATGAAATGAGACTGCGAAGAGCAGGATTACAGTGATAAGTAAGAATTTACAAGTGGTGTACAACACCCAACTCACCAGTACAAACCCACAAAGAACATGACGAAGTAGTAGCCCAGGTAGATCATACAATTCCTCAGGTGGACCTTCAGCAATCCCCTACTGTGTATGTCCACCGGATCATAGACTCCCAGGCTATCGCGTCGCTGGCGATGGAGTTCGTAGAACAGCCAAACAACCATTGGCAGGTTCACCAGAAACATTATCCAGTGGCCTCCAAGGAGCAGGAGCACGCACAGCAGGGCGTGGGATCCGAACTTGGGTATCACCCAGAAGTTCAGTCGCCGGCAGCACTCCTGGGCATTCAGGTAGTCGCACTCCAGATCCGCCAGCGTCAGGACCTACAAAAGTCCACTGTGAAAATGGTTTTCTTTTATAAGAAATGCAAACTCACATAGTATATCAGGAGCAGGAGGATTGCTCCATAGACCAGCAGGGTGATGCAGAAGGTGGCGGTTTCGGGCAGAAACATAATTGCACTATAGATCCGCTTTTTACTTAAAGATACAGGTTTCTTCTATTTTATTTACAGATTTTGCACCATTTCGCGTTTGATTTGCTTCCAATTAAGAAAACGTCCTATAAAATGCCATACTGCGTTTTTGGAAAGAGTTCTGTATAGCGGTATACCGATTTTGCAACCCTTAAAAACGGCTGTTTTTTTTTTGAATTTGTATTATTTTGTAATCTGTCAATTTTGAAATTTAAAATAATAATATTGAAACTAAAAATAATATTATGAAAATGGCACAAGAAGGATGATGGTAGTTCCTGTTTCCTATTATTGTTTTGGTATCTCCATGTTTTTAATTTTCTCTCGAGTTGATATATGTTTAAGTTTACAACTATAATGCCCCACCATTCCGAGCACCTGTTTATCCGGTTGCTACCGCCCAACGGAACATATCCGTCGGGGACGACTGCGTGTCCTTGGATGACTGCAAGGATTGGAAATGCTGTGTGGCTGATGATTATACAGCCCGGGGAGCAGGATCTGATTGTGCAGGTACCACAGGTTAAACTGGAACTGGTGAAAAATAACCTTATTTTAGTGGTTTAGTACAAGACATTTGGAAGCCTCGAAAATTTTATAAGTCCAGGAGCACGGAGAGGTTCTCCCGAAATCTCTGACAAAGATTAGTTCCTATCGAATTAATTAAAAATCCTAAAAAATTGGACATTGAATCGTTTAAACTATTATTAATAACGTATTTGTTCAGAAAATGATTTTTTATTTATTGGAGAAGATAGAGACTTCCCATTTTGTTTGTGTACACATTCATATTTAACATTCGTCGGTATTTTAGTTGAGGTTCTTGTTAATTGTACTATTGAACCAGTTGCGGAAGAAAACAACATCTGCATAGACTCCAGGGTTTTTCTGTGCACAGCCATCTCCCCAGGAAACTATGCCAATGAGCTTTCGATCCGGTAAGCTAACCAAAGGTCCGCCGGAATCGCCGTTACATACGTCCCTTTCAACAGCGTCGGCACAAATAACGTCCTCACCATGAGATCTCTTACAATCAGTGGGATCAATTATAGTCACATGGACGCCTTGCAGAATGGGCCAAGAGAAATTTGCGCCTTCGAGAGTAACTCCCCATCCGGAGACCAAGGTAATATTTCCAGCCTGAGAAGGTTTTTCAGCTAGAGCTATGTTCTGTACATCAGCACTGAACTTGAGGGGTGATTCCAAAATCAGCACAGCAACGTCGTTAACAGAGCAAGAGTGACAATATTGCTCATGGGGTATGGCTTTCAGAACCTTCACCACTTGACCATCTTTTCCCCAATGCGATGATCCAGCGCGAACCGATAAATCCTCAATCGTTACGTTAAAAACACAATGAGCAGCAGTAAGGATAACCCGATCGCTAAGTATACTTCCACCGCAGCGGAGTACCATATTATTTAACAATGACACTTGCCAAGGAACATATTCGATGGGAATATAATGGCCTCCAATAATTCTTTCCTCTGGCCTAGGAATTTGGGCAGCAAAAACCAGGACGGCAATCGATAATAAAATTATACACTTAAAGAACATTTTAGCTTTGCTAAACTCAAGTTCACGATGTCTGAACTCAAAGCTGGCCACTCTTTTATAGAACTATGTGGTACAGCCAGAGTCTATAAATTAGTGAGTTTATGGAAAACTTATCTTTTCACTGACTATTGTTCACATTATTATCTCTTCCGACCGAGGTAATGCATATTCTTTCTGAATACCATGCAGGTTCGGCTGTGCCGTTGTATTTAAATAATTACTTATGACGGCCTTTATAACTTCCTCATATTTTTCAATGTTATAGCAAACATGTTTTAAATTAAATAAGATTTAACGGACCACAGAAAAAAAACAATGGTTCGTTTCTTGGCGTTAGAGTAGACTGAAACAAACATGGGCTACTCATTACTCTTCGAGTAACGGGTATATTTATATTAATTTTAAAGGATTGAAATTATATAGTAAGTCCAGCACTAGAAAACAATTAAAGTTTTTATGTAAAACGTTTTTTAAATATTATTTTCAGCTGAAATATCTTAAAAATTAAAAAAATAAAATCCCTTTATGAATCATATAAATTGGGAAAGTCTTTTGGTTTATGTTCGAAAAATCGCTTTTATTTGTACAAACTACAATATTAACTTTAAGTGACAGTGATTTACTAAATATTTACATTGATTGTTGCATTGAACCAGTCGCGGAAGAAGACAACATCTGCATAAACTGCAGGGTGGCCAATACCACAATTTTCTCCATGGGAAACTATGCCAATGAGCTTTCGGTCCGGTAAGCTAACCAAAGGTCCGCCGGAATCGAATTGACATGCGTCCCTTCCAGATGCATCGGCACAAATCACGTCCTTACTATTATATTTCTTACAATCAATGGGATCAAGTAAAGCCACATGAACGCCTTGTAGAATTGGCCATCCGAAATGAGCACCGTATCGGGTGTCTCCCCATCCGGAGACCAAGGTCATAGTTCCACCCTTAGGAGTTTTTTCAGCTAGAGCTATTTTCTGTACATTCGCATTGAACTTGAGGGGTGACTCCAAAATCAGCACAGCAACATCATAAGGAAGATCTTGGTAATGGTATTGAGAATGGGAAATGGCTTTTAGAACCTTTACTTCTTGACCTCCTTTGCTCCAATGCGAAGATCCAGCTCGAACTGATAAATCCTCAATCGCTACGTAATCAAGACAATGGGCAGCAGTAAGGATAACCCGATCGCTATGTATACTTCCCCCGCAGATGTGTACCGCATTATTCAACAGTGACACTTGCCAAGGAACGTATTCGATGGGAATATGGTGGCCTCCGACAATCCTTTCCTCTGGCTCAGGGATTCGTGCAGCGGAAGCCAGGATAGCAATTGCTGACAAAACTGTATACTTGAAGAACATCTTAACTTTGTTTGACTCAAGTTCCCGATGTCTGAAATGAAAGTTGTTCCACTCTTTTATACAACTATCTGGTGTCAAGCCCTTAGCGACGGCAATATCTCATCCCTAAATATAGCCAGGGTCTATAAGTAAGAGAGTTAATGGAGAACTTATCTTTTTTCGTTTTGTAACTGACTATTTTTGGATCAATGTTTAAATTATTTGTCAAGACCCTGGTAAAATATTTTCTTTGTAAATTTAAATACTATTTTTAAAAATAATTACTAAGCTAATAATAAATCTAGAGGCAGCGGCTGTGTCCCCACCGGTTTAGGTAAGCTTCTGGTGAATGTTACATGTGGGGATGGGACCCAACAGGATAATTCGCTGGTGGTTCCCATGGGCTGAAGCTGCGAGTCCTGCAGCAAACATCACCTGGAACAAGCCACGACTGGTCAAGTCGAGACCAAAGAAAATCCAATCTACTAATATAACTATAATTGAAATTGACAGCGAACTTGACCTTCAGGACCTTTTAAACCAAGGCGGCGGAGTTATATCTTGTTAATAGGACCCCTATATTATAAGTTATATTGCGACCAAGAAAATAAACGATCAAAGTAAATCATAAAGACTGGAATGAACCTTAAGTGCGGTGAAATGTAAGTAAGCTATTGGTGAAGGTTATATGTGGGGATGGCACCCAAAAGGATAATTTGCTGGGTATTACCACGGGCTGTAGCTACTTACCCTTCAGCAAACATCATTGAAATGAAATGTGACAAAATAAAATGAAACAAAAATAATTTCAAATAATTTAAAAGAATATAACGGCCGATAGCCATGTAATCAATTTGTTATCGATTTTGTTAGCGATGATTTTTGACATAAGAAGAATCAGCTGTTTTCCAGCCGGTTACAAAAACCAAAACAAAACCATTTTGTTAGAAAAAATTGATTAATTTTAAACTTGAGTGTTTTTAAAACCAAATCCCGGCAATGCAGACTGTCGGTTTTAATTCCATCCTCTCTATGAGGCACTGCGTCCTGCTTACCAGGCGCCAATTCTCTGCCACGGCACAATCCGCGCTTTCCGGCTCCCAAACAAATGATCAATTGCCACCGCCGACCATCAAATCCTCGGACAAAATGCGCGGGTGGCAGTTGCACAACTACGGCGACATTGACGAGCTGCAGCTTTCCGACAAGCTAAAGATCCCCCAGATCCGCAGTTCCAACGAGTGCCTCGTGCGGATCAGGGCCACTGCAGTGAATCCCATCGACCTGGCCATGCTCCGCGGATACGGAGCCACTGTGCTGAACAAGATGCGCTGTCAGCCGGGCGATGGCATCGAGTTCCCGCTCATCCTAGGCCGCGAGTTCTGCGGCGAGTTGGTGCAGTCAGGCATGGGTGTTCCCTCGGACTCGCTGCCCTTGGGAACCCGCGTCTGGGGAGTTGTGCCCCTGCAGTCTAGCGCAGGAGCTCATGCTGAGTACGTAGCCGTTCCCTCATATTGTGTAAGTACTACTAAGTAGCTTCACCTCTCAGAAGATCCTGAAAGTAATCTGCAATCCACAGCTCGCTCCTGCCCCCAAAGAACTGGATGACTGCGAGGCTGCCAGCGTTTTGTACGCAGGATTGACGGCCTGGTCGGGCCTGTACATAACCGGAGGCCTGGGTGGTCCTTGTGGAGCCGCCACAGCTTCCGGCGGAGGTGCCCACAAGCGTGTCCTAGTCTTGGGCGGCTCCGGTGGCGTTGGCACCTTGGCCATTCAAATCCTCAAGTCACAAAAAGTTCAGGTTCTCGCAACCTGCAGCGAAAATGCCATAGAAATGGTGCGGAATCTGGGAGCCGACTTCGTTGTGGACTACAACAACGGCGAGGCCATGGAGGAGCTGTGCAAATACGCACCCTACGACATCGTACTGGACTGTGCTGGCCAGGGAGGCCAGCAGGCGGCGGAATCAAAGTTTGATTTCCGGCAGTACATAACCTTCTCATCCCCGTTGCTGGCCAACATCGATAAGCAGGGATTGGGACTGGGAGCGCTCAAGAATGTGTTTGACCTGGTCCAGACCAACGTTAAGTCCGTCACGCAGCGCGGAGGCCTTGTGAAATGGGGCTTCTTCAGTCCCGCACCCCAAGGCATTCAATTTCTACAGAAACTAGTGGAGCAGCGAAAGGTTTGTGTAGCTCTCTCAACTTATTCCCTTGACTAATCCTCTTCTGCCCTTTCAGCTGATGCCGTTGATCGATAGCAGCTACGGGTTCGGTGATCTGCCAAAGGCCTTTGAGAAGATGAAGGGCGGACACTTGCGGGGCAAGATTGTGGTGAAGCTCTGAGAGGAAACGGGCGAATGACTGACTGATATTGTTGATATTGTTTCTGTTCCATTAAACGCTTGTGTTGGTTAATTAAAACACTAGAGCGAACTACTTTGCGAAACAGAAACACTTTGACGCCATTGAATTGCATCAGAGCTGCTTGCTCACGGTTCAAACAGTGTAATTCCAAGCCAATCTACTGACGCATATGGATCTCTATTACACAAATTAACCGCGGATCTGCGAGATTAGAGGGCTGACGTCCGTCAAGGATCACCTTTAAATCACCGTGAAAAGCCGCTCTCAGTCTCCCTTATCGTCCATGGATCTGAGGCGTCCAGCCTGAAGGGCAATTGGTCGGTCAGGTAGCTGCAGCTCAAGTGATTCAACTTTGGCGAGCATACCTTACCAACACCGGCTGGGATGGGCGTGCGCCCATCGTTAAACTATTCTCGGACCAATGTTGACGAGGCACGACACACGCCATCGGTCTGCGAAAATTTCCGTGCGTCTAATTTTATTCCATCGCCTGCCTGGCTAGCTGCCCCATTATCGGTTAAGTTCCAATACCCAGATTCGTTATCAGAGGTTGAGTGGCCGGCGGGGCGATTCCGCAGCACGCGGCCTGCTCGCTCTAAACACATCGTTCACATGCGTTCGCAACGCTCCAGAGCATCAGAACATGACCAGCTCGGTATCGCCAAGGTCGAGGCTTTCCAAAGCTAACAAAAAAGCCTCTTCATCGCCGCTATCATCCGACATAGCCGGCGAAAAAAAAGCGAAGAATGCACGCGTCTCTGTTTTGTTTTGGTTTTTATTAATAGCACTCAATTTGTTACCGGGCCCGTCACTCTTGATATGATCGGAATTGCCAAGCTGTTGCCAGCCCAAGTAGGAATACCCTCTAAAATGTTTGCTATCTAAATGTATAACATACGTATCTAGTGCTTAGTATATCTACTTTAGGACCACAGCTGAAATTAAACTTGGAATCTAATAAGCGTCGCAAATGTTCTATTATAATCGCTATACTCAGATTGCTGGGGAAAAATTTTGTTTGTCTGAGCTTTCTGAAAGCCTTGAAATCCCAGGTCTTATCTGATGTCTGAATAAAATTAGCTATTATTGGGAAAAATTGTCAAGGCAGTAACAAACCTAAACACATGAGTACAGAGCACTTGTATTTAAGCATAATAATGTGTCATCCATTTAGTGGCTGCTATTTTGTATGTACTAGATGATATAACTTTATCGTCGTCGTTACAATTGTTTTTCCCAGGCTATTTCTTTTACGCAATAAAATCACAGAAAATTGTTGGGATAGCTCCAGGAATATGAATAAAATATGTCTTTAGTAAGCGAATTGATTGTACTCCAATCTCCGCAGTGGATTAAGCGAAACTAATGCCCTGATAGGAATTGGGCCAAGCCAATGACATTTTTTGGAAATTATTTGCATCTGATTAAAAGGAATTGGGTTCCTTTAACACGTATTTAATTTGTCTAGTGTATTAATTAGATTGAATTTGGTATTTTAAACAGTGAAAGAGGGAAATTGAATATGCTGTCTGACACTTAATTGCTTTCGATCAAGGATGCGTGTTGTTCTGGAAATATTTCAAATCCAAGAGGGCTTTGCTGGGCTAACGTCATTCTCATTCAACATTTGTTCTTTACACGAATCGGAATACGAGTTCAATACCTCCAGAAAAATCGTACATAAATATTGAAATTTTGGTGACCGGTAAAACAAAATTTGTAATGAATAAGTTTAATTCCCCTTTGATACCGTATATACTGGACATGCTTAGTCGGCAGCCGCAACTATGTGAGTAGTTTAGAGGAACTCTGTGTGAGGGTTTCCTGTGAAAAATTTAGGATTTATAACTAAAGGGATATGACTGGTATATTGCGATTTTTGGAATGTCTTTCATTCTTGTTTCTTATAACGTATTATTTTATATTTTTCGATGTTCCGATAACATATGTAATGAAGTTATGATATATCATATTTTTCATCAGGCACTACTAAGGATGAACTGATTGATAGTATCAAGGATATAATTCTCGAGGAGCACATCGGTTCTTTTGGCAGCCTGAAGAGAGCGGTGGAGTTTGCATTGGAGGTGGGCGTCAATCTGGGCGTAATCTCCCTGACCAACGAGAGGGTCCGTATGCCCTTCAACTTCCGCAAGACCCGGCCCAAGTTCAAAGTGCCCTCTGGAATCCGGATTACGCCTCGTCTGGGGCGCCGGGTGGTCAAGCAAAGGATGCCTAAGACTGCCGCCAAGGGGATAAAGAAGAAGAAGGCAGGACGAAAGAACCAGAAGAAGCGTCGCTAGAGGGGAAACCAAGTAGTCCCCATGGGATCACTGCAATCCAATAAACAAACGTACTGCCAACCGTATCCGTGCGTGTTATTGAACCAGACGGACGGGCTTTCGAGCCACTGGGTTAACTAAGCGATGGGCGATGGCACACACTTGGACTAATTACCAGGGCAGGGCCACAAAAAAAAAATCATACATATAAGAAAGAAAAGGGGTACAGGTACACCTGTCCTGCTCGACGTCGCATTTTCTATTTGATTTGCTTGTAGTTAGAGGCGAGTTTGCATTAAAATGAATAATTCAGCGCCTGGTGGTGGCGATTTTGGCGCAGTCATAATGAGATCGGTGCGCTAACCATATGCTATGGTTACGGGGATAATTAAAAATGCGTCTTTCGGTGGACACCGGTCCCCCCTGTCCCTGCAGTTCTATTATATAAAAGGAATCCGGCGAGTGCAGCCCTTGTTCAGTCTGTCTGCGGAACAAGTCGGATCCATACGTGCCCACCAAAAAAGGATATATAAGGATATACACATTAACAAGAAGGACCTGCAATCCCAGCCGAAATCCTCGTCCCCAAACGGAATACAAAAAGGATACGCGATCAGTTAACTTATTAGTAATAAAGGTGGCCGTTAAAAAGTGATATCTTACCTTCCCCCAAAACCATAAATTGAATTCCGAGTTAGTGTCATACGAAATGTGAGTCAAAGTCAATGAAAAGAGTGGCGTGTTTTAACATGCGATCTATTTGTTCAAAAAAAGAAAAGAATTATAAATTCTACGACGTACTAAACCTTCAAGCGATCTATTTTTTTCTAAAAAAAAAGAAAGGAATTATAAATTCTACGTCGTACTGAACTAAGCCAAGATGTGTCACTGTTCAAAGAAATTCTAATAAATGCAAGTGTCGAGTGGTTAATCACTTATCTTTAATTCAGAGAATTTCTTCAAGTGCTGAAAACAAATGGTGTGATGTTCAAATTTCCTGAAAGTTCTGCACTAATCGCATAAGGAATTGTGTATAACTCTTGGTCGACAAATGGATAATACACAAAAAAAATGTTATATCCTTTAAAAGGATTCGTGACTTTATATTTTGTGATAAAAATAAGCCAATGTAAAAATGGACTCGATATCTCAATGATTTTAAGCACAGAATTTAAAAATCTATACTTTCAACTAGTCTAAAAGTATAAAAATTCGTGTTTTTGAGAAGTTAATAAACAGTAAACTTTATAATCAGTTAAAAAACACTAAAAAGTCCCCAAGTTACTATAATCTCGGATTAAAAATGGATTAAAATATCAATGAATAGTAATATTCTCTTGAGAAATTAAAAAAATGGTGCCTCTAAAACCACTATTAATTCTGTAGACACCTCGAATCTGTGTTTGGGGAACCTTTGATCCCACTAGACCATTCAGTTCATTATGACCATTGTGTGCATTCTGGCACGCGCCGCATTCGTTGATTTGAGTGTTAGCATAGCATTTGGGGGGAATGTTCTATCAAGAGCTTATCGGGGCTATCCCCCAATGTGCCCCCAATACCACCCAGGTGCAGTGCACGCAGTAGAAAGCTGTACGACTATCTCGAGAGTCGGCTCCCGTAAGTTGGCAACAGGAAACGCAGTGATCCGCACCCGGCTTCCTCCTCCGTTTTGGATTTCTCTGCCGAACAGGCGAATCGTACGATCCCTGCATATATATATGCACTCTAGTTTTGATAGGATAGAAAAGGCGACTACTACTGCTGTGGTTCCTTATCAGCAGGGCGACAAAATTCATTAAATCAAGTGGGGAGAATCGATTGCGATCAAGTACTTATTACTCATAAAATGTCGATTTAGCATTTTTTTATCTAGGCATCTTAGATTAGAAGATCGAAATATAGATATTGTGGAAACATTTAACTTAGCTATTATTATATTATATTATTAAACTGAAAAACAAAAAATTTTTAATTTTGTCACTCTTTTTATTTCTGAAAATTGATAAGTTCTACCAAGTAAAGATATGGCATGTTTAACTTTATGCGTTGTACTTCCTTATTTCTTCCAAATTGGCTGGCCAATCATTATTTATGTTGCTTGTTTTCCTAAGGTGACCGATTTTGTTTTCTCATGAATGTAATGGCAATCTTGTTTACGAAAATGTTATGCTGATAACAAAACTCTGTCTTCAACGGTTCCAATTGTTTGAAAAATTGAAGGTCAAATTATGAATTAAAAACATAAAGATTTTTAATGAGTAAAAACCAATTATGTTTTAAATTAAATTTAAATTAAATACTATTTGGAAATCCTCGCACTTCTTATCAGTTATTTATGTCTACCCCACCTTGCTTTTATAAACGGGGATTAAAAACTATTAGTTATTATGAAAAACTTAAATTAATTAATGCAAAGCGTGTCCATTAAAAAAAAACACGAAAATTATTACCATGTTATCATTATCAGTCCGCTTATTAGATTAAAATGAGTTCGAACTTATATAATTCGATATGTTATTTTGGTTATAGTTTTATAGCATGGCCCTCATATAAATAGGAAATGTGGCTATGAACGGGGACTAAAAACTAAAAATGTAAAAGTATTTTTGATATAAGATACATAAACCACGCCAATATCGGCCTAATTTACCTGGTCAAAACAAATTTTTATCAGAATTGTTATCTAATATTTTTACACATCCATAATTCTTTATTATAAGGTCGTTAGGATGCAGATATGATTTTAAGAAATATTCGTTAAACTTAGGACATTTTGCAAAATTTCTATATTTTCGTATAGTTGGGTCCTCATACAGACTGAGCCAGAACAAAGCCCCCATAATGCCGAACAAGAAGAAAGCCCAGGCGGAGAAGACGGCGGGCGAAGATGGAGATATTGTGATCTCAGGACTCTCCGGTAAATTGCCGGAGAGCAGCAACATCGAGGAGTTCAAGTACAACCTGCTCAATGGCATCGACATGGTCACAGATGAGCCCCGTCGCTGGGAAGCAGGTAGGTACCAACTACAAATATTATAAGAAATATGGTGGTTCCGTTCCGAGGAGCTCTAACACTCTTCCCTGCTAAAATCTCCCCTCACTCGAGTAACAAACCTCTGACTCATAGCAAACTTTCAACGACCCACCCTCTGAGTTTTATTTTCGCAATCTTTTTCTCAAGTCTCCTCGATCTCCTTTGGGCTTCGAAATAATTCCCAATTTGTTATAGCAAACTCTGAATAGAGGGTCCCTCGTTTGTTGGGGTTGGTTATGTCTCTATCCCCGCTTCAGTTGTGGAGGGAAAACTTACACAATGTGGTGAAGAGGAGAAGAGCACATTATCCGAGGCAATTTTTGTAGTGCCTGGCCGCGTTCTGCTGCCGGGCCGTGAGAAATAAATATGAAACCGGTTTAGATTTTTTGATGGCTTATAAGCTGCTGACTTTAATTTCTACCATTAACAAATGGATTTAAATGCGAAATAATGCTTACAATCCATTTATAAAACGATTTGATATGAAAAACTCACTAATATATATATATAAGATATAAGAAAATCGATAGGATCTCTGCAGTTCAATTTAAAATATATAAATGAAATACTATTAAAACCGGTTTAGATTTTAACATTTCCAAAATTTTTGATATACAAAGTTCGCATATAGTCCTAGCAACTAATTTAAAAATTTGAGCAATTCATTTTTAGATACGAGTATGCGTAAATATTCCTTATACCTATTCCAACAGGCATCTATGGACTCCCCGAGCGCATGGCCAAAATGAAGGACTCCGATCTGGAGAAGTTCGACGACAAATTCTTCAGCGTGCACCAGAAGCAGGCGGAGCTGATGGACCCCTGCATGCGGATGCTGCTCGAGCTGACCCACGAGGCGATCATCGATGCGGGCATCAATCCCGCCCAGCTGCGTGGCAGCCGGACGGGCGTCTACATAGGTCTGTCCTTCGTAGAGACGGAGCACGAGATCCCGAATATGGAGCCGAGCAGCATCAATGGCTACTGCTTGACGGGATGTGCGCGGGCCATGTTCGCCAACCGGATCTCCTACACCTTCGATTTCAAAGGCCCCAGCTTCATCGTGGACACCGCCTGCTCCAGTTCGCTGGTGGCCTTGAACCACGCCTTTGCAGACATGCGGGCGGGTCGCTGTGACTACGCCCTGGTGGCGGGGGTGAATCTCATCCTGAAACCGATCTTTGCCCTCCAGTTCCTGCGGCTGGGGATCGTGAGTCACGATGGCTCCTGCAAGACCTTCGATGCGGCAGCCAATGGCTATGCCCGGGCGGACACCTGTGCTGTGGTACTGCTCCAGAGGCGAAAGGAGGCCAAGAGGGTATACGCCAGCATCCTGAATGTGCGCACAAATACGGATGGCTTCAAGGAGCAGGGTGTGACCTTCCCAGATGGCCGAATGCAGCAGGCTCTCCTAGAGGAAACGTACAGCGAGATAGGCCTCAATCCCGACGAGGTGGTCTACGTGGAGGCCCATGGCAGTGGAACCCCAGTGGGCGATGACCAGGAGGCCAACATGCTAAGCAACTTCTTCTGCCGGCCCTCGCGATCTAGCCCACTCCTCATCGGCTCCGTGAAGTCCAACATGGGTCATGCAGAGCCTGCCTCCGGGGTGAGTGCTCTGGCCAAGATGATCATCGCCATGGAGGAGGGCATTATTCCAAAGAATCTCCACTACCGCACACCCAATCCTTCGGTACCCGCCCTGGTCGATGGACGTCTCAAGGTGGTGGATCGGAATCTTCCCTGGCAGGGTGGCATCGTGGGTCTGAACTCCTTCGGCTTCGGAGGAGCCAATGCCCATGTGGTGCTCAAGTCCCATGCGAAGGGCAAAGCTCCTAAGGCATCACCAAACGCGAAGGAGGCGGAGCAATCCCTGAGGCTAGTCACCTGCTCTGGCCGCACGGAGGAGGCAGTGAATCAGTTGCTGAAAGTGGCCAGTGAGCAGAGGGGCGATCCGGAGCTAGTGACCCTTATCAATGACATCCATTCTCATCCGATTCCCCTGCATCCGTTCAGGGGATACGCTGTGCTGGGATCCAGTGGCTCCGT